TTCCTTTTATTAGATTACCTAGTTCACCATTTGTTTTAATTCTCCACGAGCCATTATGGTTTCTTGAGGGCCCGAAGATCTTTCTTAGAATTTTCCTTTCAAAGACTAAAAGTCTGTGTTTCATGGCTCCTTTGAGTGTCCAGGTTTAGCAGGCATAGGTTACTGTTTGTTGAATTACCATCTGGTATAATTTTAATTTGGCTATTTTAGAAACAAGTTTACTTTTAAACAGTGTTAAATGTGCAGCATATGCTTTATTTCCAATTGCTAACCTCTCTTTAATCTCTTGTTCGATTGTTTATCTGAACTAACCATAGGCCCTAAATATTTATAATGAAAAAACTTGTTCTATATTTTCGTCACTGTGTCTGAGGTCTTGGATTATTTGAGGTTTGTTAGAACAGTGTAGGAATTCAGTTTTGTGTTCATTGACTAACAATACATAATTTTTTGAGGCTTTTTTAAGCTCTTCAAAGGTGCTAATCAATATTTGTTTGGTTCTTGCAATAATGAGTATGTCATCGGCATATGCACAACACTGTCTTAACCTTGCGGAAAAATTACCTCTAACATCTAAACTTTTCATGATCTCATCTATAACATGCGTTATATTACCCTTGGTTGATTCCTTGGTGACTCTGTTATCTCAAACATGCTGTTAAGTTTCTGATTCTGATAACGTAGACTCCTTTGTTAGCACGCCAGCTACTTATATATCAGTTTGTTGGAGCACAAAATCACTAACATCAATAGCTCTTTCACACTGTCATGATAATACGTGATGATTGACAATTAGTGCTTGATGTTACTTGGCAATGGATATCTCTGCAACATTTCTTTGACTCCAGGCATCATGTTATCAAATTGCAATGTGCAGACCTGCTACTAAGTAACAACCACAAAACAAACATGTTCCCACTGCAACAAATCTACATGCAACAATAAACAAACTGTTGGAAACGGTGTTTTCTGTATGGTCCGTGACGATAAAGTGGGAGCTGCAGTCATTCAGTCAGTCTGTGAAGGCTAGGAGGTTGGTGTGAGATATCTGCCACACAGTGAGGACTTGAGCACAGAAGAGGAACATTCTCCATGAGTAGCATACATTACCAAGTAACGACTAGTGGAGACTGTAACAGACTGGGAACACTTGTGCGATACAGTAATCAATAAAGTGTGGAGAATAGTGATGGTGCTATAATTAAGTGTAGTCATGAGTCATGTGTTAAAGTGGTCAAATAAATCCAATGCAAAATCCATATCCCACCAATAGTCACACTGCTCTCACAAGAAAATATTATTAGTAAGATGCAAGTACCCTTCGGTAATTATGCAAAATTACAGTTGGCAGAAGATGGCAATGTCTGCATATTAAGCAAGAAATGAGCTTCTATGTAGACTCTTTTTCAACAAGTAAACATACACACTGTGGCACTCAGAAAGTCATGTTATGGAAACATTTTTCTCCTGCTATGGTGAAAAATTGCACCACAATGGTTAGCAACTGAACCTGAATCTTTAAGTCTTTGTGCATTGCTTCATGATTAATGAACTGAATAACAAGAATATGACAGTATTCAATGGTATATCAAGGTACTTGGCCAAAATTCTGGAGATATCACAAAATGATGGTAATGGGAAGTGAGGGAGAAATGATTCTGAGTGTGGCAAATGTTGAAACTGAAATCTTTATGCAAGAACTACAAACACCCATGAATATGATTCCAAAAATGTGACATCATTCCATTTCTTTGTAAATTTAATTTAATTTATTCTTATATTCAAGTAGATCCAATTACATGGCGAGAAACAAGTTGACACACCACTGAATACAGAATGTGTCAAAAATCAAAACAAACGTTCCAACCAATCACTGGAACAAGTCAAAATAACATAATATAAAACGTAGACAACACAATCACTAAACATAATAAAATGTGACTACAATAAGACTTAAATACTAGATGAAAACATATTAACCATTTATCTTACAAAATTCATCTAGTTTATAAAAACAATGCATATGAATGTATATTGTCAATAAACAATACAATATCAAATAATGTATGTTACATCACTCACACATCAAAAGAAAAACTATAAAAACATCTAACATGCATGAACAATAAATGGAATAAATAACTTATCTCAGAAGTGTACTAAAAATTATTATGGTAATAAATACATTCATAAATAAATAAATTTGTAACAGAACAAAAGATTGTATGTTAAAATAAATAAAAGTCAGAGTTGGTATGTATGCAGATCTAAATTAGATGATTATTTATATATTTTTAGTTAGTTAATAGGACTCGTCAAGGTTAATTTTAGATACTATTTGTAAGAACCAAGATCACCCCTTGTGTTCCATTCATAATATTCATTTAAAGAATAAAATGAACCAGCAAAAAGAAACTCTTTTTGAGCCTGTTTGAATTTAGTAATATCATTTAATAGATTCCTGATGCCTTGTGGTAGATTATTGAATATCCTAATTCCTGAATATTATACACCCTTCTGCACTTTAGCTAATTTATTACTTGGAAAATGTAAGTCAAAACCTTGTCTGGTGTTAATGCTGTGTGTTGCAGAATTAAATTTAAATATATCCAAATTCTTAACTACAAAAATTGATACAGAAAATATATATTGAGAATATAACGGCAGAATATTTAACTGCCTGAACAATGCATGACAAGAGTCCTTATTTCTTGCCTTCATAATAATTCTCATATTCATTTTTGGATTTTGAAAATTAAATTACTATGAGTCGAATTGCCTCAGAATATTATTCCATACAACATAATGGAATGTTCATATGCAAAACAAATCATCCTTAAACTCTCCTGAGTCATAACTGCAGACAGAATAACTAGCCGCATTCAGCTTAGTTACCAACTGATTTATTTGATCTTCCCATGATACGGTATTATCTATGACTAGTCCTAGGAATTTTGTATTACAAGTATTTTTAATTTATACATCCTTATCGTTTAGATTTATGTTTGATGTAGTATTTACTTTTGATGAAAAATGCACATAATTAGTTTTGTTAAAATTTAATGATAATGAATTATTCATAAACCATGTGTCTATTTTGTCTAGTATTCTTACCTTCTTTCTAATAGAGTTAGATCCCATTTCAAGAAAGCTGCAACTTTCAGGGCTAATATTTTCAGAGCTAAGTATTTATACCTTCTTTTACTTCCAAGCGCCTCATTTTTACTGTTTTCTGATGGTTCATTCTCACTCTGTTTGGATTCTGCTTCCTTTGTATCTGGGGCAATGGACAGGAACTTCACAATCAAGTCTGTGGGTGACGGATCTGCATGCAAAAGTAACACACATCAATTGTGATATTATTTAATCCCCAATAAAATATGTCTGGGTACTGAACCACTATTACTCCAAGAATTGTACAGACATGTAAAGGTGATGAATGTCACAAAAGGACATATTTCACCCAAAAAGTATAACTTTTAAGAGAAATAAATATTTCAGAACACAAGGCAAAAGCTAACCACCGCAAAACCAATGTAATTTAACATTACATGACATGGGATCAGATTCTCTGAGAATATAACTTTCACCCTAATCCAGCATAAAAGAAACAATTTCATCTGCATCAGGTTGTTAGTACTTTGCAAATCAGACTGTCTGTTCCATTCAAACTTTCCATGACTTCCGAATTGTTTCAAATATTGTACTGTCAATTCTTCCAACATATTCTGAAAATTTACCAAAAAGTAGAGTAAAAGACATCTGCAATATTAACACAAATTTACAAGAATAATTAATGTAACAGAAACACTATAACTATCATCACTCTAAAAACAGTACAAATTTTTCCAGACTGTCATACTGTAACAATAACATAAAAAGATCAAATGTAACTATAATGCTAACATACAAATTTTCCTAGTATCAGAATCATCCCAACAAATGAAGTTGAGATAAAGAATATAATACGCATCATGAAACCAAAAAACTCGTCAGGTTTTGATGAAGTAACAAATGAAGTTCTGATTTAATTAGTTGCCCTTTAGCTCACATTTGTAATCACTCATTATACACAGGCATTTTCCCAGATCGCCAAAAAATTTCAATAGTAAAGCCACTATTCAAAAAAGGAGATAAGTATAGCATGATGAACTATAGGCCAATTTCATTATTATCTACTTTCTCTACGGTACTTGAGAAAGTCATGTATAGTAGGATAAATCAGCATATGCATTGTAACAACATATTGGTCCCAGAGCAATACGGCTTTAGGAAAGGTATATCCACTGAAGATGCAGTCTTCAAGCTAACAGACAGTGTCTTAAAATCCATTAACCAAAAAAAACATGTGGGAGGAATTTTCTGTGATTCAGCGAAGGCTTTTGATTGTGTAAATCATGAAATTTTGTTAAGTAAACTACAATTCTATGGCATTCGAGGAACAGTGTTAAAATGGTTCAAATCCTATCTAACAAATAGAAAACAAAAGGTTGAAATAAAATCGCCTAAACACAGTCAGAATTTCTTCTCAGACTGGAGAACAATAAAACATGGAATTCCCCAAGGATCCATCCTGGGACCCTTGCTTTTCATAATATATATAAATGACCTTCCACCAATAATAAATATCTCATCAGAACCCATAATATTTGCTGATGATACAAGTGTCATAATTTCTAGTAAAAATTTTGATGATTTCTGTGCAATGTCTAACAGAGCACTCTCTCACATGAATAAATGGTTCAATGCAAACAGACTTGCCCTAAATCTTGATAAAACGAAAGTAATGAAATTTACAACAAAAAATACTCCTCAGTATGTTTTAAATATTGGATATAATGGAAAATATATAGAAGAGTCAGTAAATATGAAATTCCTTGGCTTGTAAAATTGATAGCCACCTAAGTTGGTCAGACCATATAGATAAGTTGATTCCTAAGCTAAGTGGAGCGTGCTATGCAGTTAGGTGTATGTCTCATGTCAGCAATACTGAGACTCTCAAATCAATTTATTTTGCCTATTTTTACTCTGTAATTAAGTATGGTATAATCTTTTGGGGCATCTCATCTTAGAGTAAAATGATATTCATCTTACAAAAGAAAACTGTTAGATTAATGGCTGGTGTTAAACCAAGAGACTCATGTAAAAATCTTTTTTAAGAGACTAGAAATCCTAACTCTACCATGTGAATACATATTTTCCCTAATGATCTTCATTGCGAAACACCAAGAATTCTTCCCAACTAATTCTACTGTTCACACTGTCAACACAAGGAATAAAAATCAGCTACATAGACCAATTGCCAACCTCCAATGTTTCCAGAAGAGTGCATATTATGTTGGCATTAAAATCTTCAACAGTCTGTCATCAAATATTACAGCTCTTATAGATAAACAGGCACAATTTAAAGCAGCGCTAAAGAGATACTTAATTACACACTCCTTTTACTCTGTTGAGGAATTTATGCTTTCGAATAACCCAAAGCGTATGTAATGTATTGATTTTATTGACACTTCACTACTTTTGTGAACCTTTTACTACTATTGTGACTTTGTTTTCATTGGTAAATTTTTTGCAACAATTTGATTTGTTCGTGTATATGTATTGTATGATTATTTGACTAATTCCACATCCTATGGTCTTTCTGACTAACATAAGGATCTATGGAATGCTATATATATGTATGTATGTATTTACATACTGTGAACTGTAACACTGGCTGCACGTTTCACGCTTCATAAAAATTTAACTTCTTTACATCTTCTTTACCAGCCAAGTCAGAATTGAATATCAAAACTTGAAGAATGAAGATGATCTTGTGCTGCCTGGTCAAGGCTACTGCACACGTCAGGGGGTGATGGGAGACAAGTATGGAGCGTACCAGTGCAAATGCAAAGGGTATTTACTAACATCTGAAAGTTGTTTCACTTCCATTTATAAATTCAACACAGATGTTAAACAGTACAAAGAATAACAAACAAACACTCTACTTCTGAGCATAATTGCCAGATCAACTTACACATCTCTGCCAGCAATACACCTCACATACAATTCCTTATAAAAAAAATAAATCAATGTTTACACCCAATGGCAAACATTGGCTTTCACTCTATCATCACATCAGATATGTACTTTCCTTTAAAGTACTTCTTCAATGGTCAAAAGTGGAAATTAATAAGTACAAGGTGAGACACTTCCACTCAGACAGTTCCAGAAGTTACTCTGTGGCTCAGGATGAACAGTGGTAGGCCGCTCTGTCTGTGAACAAACCAGGGTTCTCAATGCCTTCCTTCAGGCGTAGCACTGTCGCACATCAATATAAATTCATTCCTGACCTGTAGTCCAGGAACCCAGAATTCCCTGTATGTACCAAGATGTTGTCAGTAACAATTTGCCCAAACTGCTTGGAATATTTTGTCCATCCACAAGCTGGCCTGGACTATGCATCTAGTGACTTCCACCACTTCTGCCCACTAAAGAAGCATGTAAAAGGAAAATACTTCTGATGTGGTAACCATGTGCTAGTTGAGGTGGACTGGTGATACGAAAACTGAGCCCTTATTTCATGTCAGTGGGAACAAAATGAGTGATGTATTGTTGTGACAACTTTCTCTGTCACTCTGGGTACTACACATAAAGAAACAGTGGGATTCTTCATTATTCCTTATTCTTTTGGACACATATGTCAAAATAAAATATGCACCTATAAAACCATCAGATATATATATAGTATGAAGTATGGATTTTGTATTCCTTAGGTCTACATTTTCTTGACTCTATGTATATTTTTATCTGTCTGCCCAAAATATCCACAACTGTTAAATTTCCCTGAAATACACATTTGTGCTTTCTATCTAGCTCCATAATTATATGTTAAAATTGAACATGAATTGGTCTATTGCTGTCCTTTCAAGGACTTTCAATTGATAATAAGGGAAACAAATTCTAAAGAAGAGTTGAAGAGCAATGGCAATAAAGCCTCTCCTTATTTATATCTTTTTGAATGGGAAACATATCAGACAAATGTCACATAGGTTTTATTTACGCACATTTTAATAAGCCCAATTAGTTTCACAGGTAACCAAAACATAATGAGAATACTTCATAGTGCTTCCTTCCTAACTGAATCATATGCTTTCTTGACGTCTATGAATAGCTGATGTACTATCTCACTGTACTTCCAATTTTTCTCCAGTACCTGACAAATACAAAATATCTGATCAGTAGTGGTTCCCTTATGTCAAAATTAACACTGGTGACCCCAATAATTTTGTCTATGTATGGACTTAATTTTGAGAGAAGGATATTGAATAAAATTTTGTATGAAGTTGACAGCAGTGATATGCCTTGAGAATTACTACACTCAGTTTTATCGCCCATTTTGTAAATTTGTACAATAATGGACTCCTTCCACTGATCAGGCAGTTCTTCCTTATTCCAAATATAATTAATAAAATATGGATCACAGACCATAATGTTTCACCTCCTGCTTTAATCAGATCTGCCAGAATTTGGTAAATATGTGGAAATTTATACTTACTGAACTTCATAACAACAATTTCAACCTCAGAAGTACTAGGCTCTGGTACTAGTGGCTCAGCTGTATGTATTTCTGCCTAACATCACTGACACTGCATACATTCAACAGCTGAGAGAAGTAATTCTTCTACCTGTACAAAATGTGAGAATCTGCAAGCAGCATCATTCTCATCTTTACCAAGTTAGTTATAGGTTGGTAACCCTTCTCGAATTAATTTATTCCTCCAGAAAAGAAGTAAAGTTGTCCCTGTGCTTAACTGATTATGGGCTATACCATAAAGACACATGGGAGACATGAGGTACAGCTCCACTATTCTTGACCTTGCACTATGTGGAGGTGGTCACCTACATGCCCCTGCCGCTTCACCCCCAAAGAAAGTCCCTGATACCCATTGGATAGGAGGCTGGATGGGCCCCAGAGCTGATCTGGACACTGTGGAGAAGAGTAAAATCTTGCACTGCCAGGAATCACACCTGGGCTGTCCAGACCATAGCTTATTACCATAAAAGTCCCTAACGTTTTTGTTCTTACTGTGTTGCAAGCTCATTAATTTTGTCTTTCAGATATTCTGTCTCTTTATTCCTGAAATTTATCCCAACTTCACATCTTACATTGTTTACATATTATCCCCACTTATTTGGCCTGGATCCTGTAAAAGAGTTAAAGTAAAGCTATCCCTGTAACAGGCCATGGAGATGTGAGATGTTGAGGTTCCCACATTTTCTAGACAGTCGGCTCATAGATGGCGGCAAGGTTGTCAGCCCTATGCGCCGGCC